GCTTTACTTAGAAACTGTGATTTGAAAGCTCTAAGGACCACAAATCTTTACTTCCAAATTTTCTGCACTGACTCAACTTAGTGGTATTGGGGCTGCCGAGTCCAAATTCCCAGACGGTCCGGTAGTTTCGTGGACAAAAGGACTAACACGCTACTAGAGTAAAAATGTTGGTTGAGGCAATGGAAATGATCCATTTAAGCAGTAAGTGTTCGCCCCCAAATGATCCCATTCAATGAAGAACTTCACAAACTCAAGAATTTCCACAATCGGTGCAAAAGCAGTTAAGCACAGGGAAACATATCTTTTGTTGTCCAAAAACTGACTATTGACGTAAACTGCTGCAGCGAATGTCTACAATAGATTGTGGGGAAAGGTTTTAAAAAAGGGAACCTCTTTTATGCGCTGAAATCACTAAGGGTGGAACACTGCTAGAGTGATTTATCCCTAAAAAAAAACGATCGACTCAGAAAAATGCAGTCGAGCGGTTTTATTGCAACCGAATTCAATGTGTGCATGATGTTGGTAGGCATGACACCGCAGCGTACGGAAAACCACACATGGTTTTTGCACGAGGGCAAAGCTTTCACTAACACGGAGCAAGTGGGCGCGATTTTTGCGTACAAATTTACGTATATCGCTATTTCTACACAAAAACAACAAAATTGCTTGAATAAATCTTGTTAACCCGTTTATCAAGAAGAGAATCGGGGAAGGGAATTACGTCTATATAAACATCTAAACCGTGTAATGAGATTATGTCGAGGTAAATAGGCTTCAGGTGAATGTGTTTTTTTGTAGGGAATTTGGATGTTTGCTAGTAGAGAAACTATGTCGGGGAAAAAAATATATAACAGCTTTCAGATGCTTGGGAAATTTTCTGGAAGGACTCTGAAGTGAGTGCGTGTGGAAGTAAACAGAGGTTTGCCAAGTTGAGCAAATTTGCATTATGGTGGTTGAAGTAGAGCGAGAGAGCAGGTACAACAAGGGGGTGGGTGCGAGAACGCCCAGGTTGGTCGAGATGGCCTGGCCTGTCATGGGTTTGTTTGCGGAAGGGATAGAATGGTAGGAGTGGGGGGCGTTTAGCATTGGTACAAAAGGCAAGCGTGTGTGTGTGTGTGTAGGTGGGGGTATCGCTGGAGAGTAGTAACGGTCTCGGTGATGGGACGAAGAATGGGTCGGAATGGATTTGAGCAAGATAAATTGTTGCGATCTTGGTCATAAGTATATTGGTCATCACACGGCGACGTTGAGGGGGGGTTAAGGAACAAGATGACCGCCTATTTCCGTTTCTTTGGTCTACGCATTAGTTGCATCATTTTCTTGAACTCTGAAACGTACAAAAAAGTGCCCGATAAGCAATCTTCGTTTACACATGTAAAAAGTACTGACATTGCCCAAATTTGATTAAATCTTGTCCGTTATACTAGGTTATTACCTCTTAATAACAAGGCTTAGTAAATTTAATTACAGACAAGTGCGAATCTGAGTCTCGATTCTTTAGACAGATGAACCTGCACTTTCGAATTAAGCAGATAACACCGTTGATGTATCGAGGCTTTGTGGCCGTCTACCGGGTCAACAGAACGCACGCATGAAAATTGATTGCCAAATGAAACAGCCCGAAGACAGGAACAGCTGCCCCTAATGTAATGATAATGGCCACTGGCAGTGTCATGTAATGCGTTCGGGGTTTGAATTTGTTTCAAAATTTGTCTGCACGCCTCAACAACACAGGCACACGCGTGCGCGCTGGCGGGATGCAGGCACGCGCTCAATCCCTTCCGAACGCGCGCGCGCGCGCGAAAGAGTAAATGCTGAAATAGCTGTCGCATGCGCGTTTAAGGGTGTGAACCACTAAATCCGCAACACGCCAGCAGCACTCATGCGTGAATTGTGATCGCCGTAACGAAGTACTCCTTCAAGGGAAGTGCGAGGCACCTAATGCAAGCGGCATGAGTACATGCTAGTGAGTGAACAGCAGATTAACCTTCATCGTCACATGGCAACATTATCAGGCCTTTCCACACGTACACACGCGCAGTGCGCGCCTTCAAGCGAGATATTTCCCACAAGAAATCAGGGCTAGTCGGCAATAGGAACACAGAACGCTGCTTCTGCTCTAGGTCTAAGCTAACACCGCTTTGACTTGGTCATGGAAGAGCAATTTGGAAAAAAAAGACTAGCAAAATAGCCCATTTACAAGCATGCGAACACTGTATTTTATGATGTGCAATAGACACGCGTTTTAAAACAATGGACGTGTTTGTACTTATCACTTCAAAGCTAGACCACGCTTCGGGCATTCGTATCCAAAAAAGTATAACAAAAGTAAGCCGGAACCGGTTTTTTATTTAGTGAGAAAAGTACAAGTTTTAGGAATTGAAAAAAGAGGATATTTACAAACTCCAAACTGCGGAAATTAGCCCAAAAGAGACTACGGTAATTGTGTCTTCTATCTGATTTGACCATGAACATGCCTGGGAAGTGAAACTGCCATGGGCGCCGTGTAGTTACTGAGAAACCCTAACCATTTAACCAAGCCAATGGTTTCTTGTTGCCCGTGTATGCAAATTAGCTGCAAAATCACCAGACCTAACAAGTGGAAGTGAGCGAAACTTCTCCCTGGTTTAACAGGCAAGAAAATTTAACAAAACTGGGGCAAGCGGTTCCACGGAAAGTTTATGCTGTGATGCTTAGCAGCAATGACAAGCTGAGAAGATGCCTGCCAGGCAAAAAGTGTACGCGGATCTGCGTTTCGGCAACTTGCAAAGTCATTTGCAGCACTTAAAGCCAAAATGGCACAAGTCGACCGAACAGTCAACGCTTTTTTTAACGAATCCACACAGGAACTTGTTGGGGATCCACGATTCCCCAAGATTGGTTTCTGATGCTATTTACAGTTATTTACTAACATTTGTTTTGCTACGCTTTTATCAAGTCAAGGTCAACCCTGACTTGAATAAGTTTCGTTTTCGATACTGCACTCCGCACGTGGCTGACGTGATCAAAGCTCTCTATACGAGCTCTGGTCTTGTTCTTGCATTAGCCTAGGAAGGTCGGTTCTAGCTTCAGCAAGGGATCTGGTACCGTTATTTGAGTGGTCTTCTTTTTTATTACGGGCAAACGTAACAGAACTTCATTTATACAGCGACAGTTAAATCAGATATAACGACAAGTTTGTAAGTGGTGGCGCAGGTGATGTGATGGTAACAAATAGATTTGGTCACGCAAGCCACTCGTTAACACCCAGTGAGGAAATCTGGCTCAAAACGGCGCCATTTGAAGTTCATATTGTGAAAAACAACAAAACAGGGATTGTTCCTCAGACGCACTTCTACATTGCGTACTCTTCAAATCCATTTTACTGAGTAAACAATGATCAAAAAGGTATGGATGTCAGATGCCAAGGTTGTCTGCGCTCTAGGCAGATTTTACGTGGCAATTAGTGTTAATTATGGGACAAACTTGTCCAGGGTACGTAAGGAAATCGCATTTCGTTCAATTACAACCTGGTTTTCGGTAGTTTCAACGCAAGCAAGGGGAAGCCAATTTTCGCGATATCACAAGAGCAATTTGTTACAATGCGAAATTAAATTAGCTCCGAACGTGAACAATTACGTTGGGCTAAATGTGCAATTTTTCTCCGTAATGGAGAATTAAAAATCCACCAAACTGAGCATTACAAGTGGACCTTAAAAGCACGAAATTGTGCGTGGATTTTCAAAAAAAAATAGTTTCTAACGAAACGCACCAGTTATCGTAAGAGTAAGCATGGGAAAAGACTAAGGTTCCTTCAAAACGGAGGGTAAATTGTGACTCATTCAAGTTTAAAATAGATCCGAAATTGAAAAAAAGCCTTTTTGGGTGCAATTTGACACAAGTAAGACCCAAGAAGGAAACTTGACCAATCCACTGTAGCATGCCCAATGCATCGATTATGATTCCTTGGGAGTGTTTCAGCGGTATTTGCAAACGATTCAACCGTAAACGCACACGTTGAGTCGTGTAGGCAGAAGGCGTCGGATACACGCTACACAAGCTAATCACAACCAACCGTCAGTAGAGACTTCGAGTTGGATCTACATGAAGTTCTTCCAAGAGATCGTTCCACCGTCATTGCATCCCAACACCTGCCTGTTGGGGATGCCACCGTTCCCCAGCACAATTAAACTAACACTGCGATCACGCTGCTGTCACGCCATATCGTTGCTCACAGCCACAACTCATCACACTCAGCGCCACTTACTCAACCCATCGATCTCAGGCCGTCCGGAGGTACATATGTGGGCACCTTCGGCCCCATATTATACTCGAATCTATGGTTCATGCACAAGCTTTAGCCTTCTCTTATTCTAGAAAGTCTTCGACATGCCCAACAAGAGGTTCCAACTACTGGCTAGGTGATTTGAATCAACACACCGGTAAAAATGTAACTGCCCGAATTCCTTCAACGTCAGGACTAACTCAAAACGGTGTCAATGTGGGTTCGATTCGTTCTTACTAAAGGTTTTAAGTGGAAATTCTTGCTCAAATCTATTTATTCGTGGCGGCTACCCCACACAGCTACTGGTGTCCGTAATCAACGTCGAATTTTCTTCGACGTACTGTTCTCAAATGGACGAATTTCAGTTGCCATAGGATTTTGCGGCCAATTAGCCGTGATGTCATGTTTGAACAGCATAAACCAGAACGCAGACAGAAGGTTCCGATATATTGAAGGAGTGTGCTATAAACATCGGGAATTTGACAGACAGCCAACCACAATTATCAACAAGCGAGGAGATTTTCAACACAGAATACCAAAATAATGATTCCCTGCAAATTTCCGTAAATTTCGACCAGAATTTGGTTGCAGTAAGCTACTGAAATCAAACCTCTCAATGTTTAAAGCGGTTGTGGCGAGAGCTCACGCAAAGACCAGAAAACTGTCAGAAACATGATAGTTAGTGGGGAAATTCATTGCGATTTTGCGACAACATAAATCGTGTGGGCATATGTTGATGAAATCCTTTAGTATCAGATGGCTTTTCGTGCAAAAGACGGATGATTTCATAGATGAGTCTAACTTGGAACATGCTAACTGGATTGACAGTCGTGACGACACCCAGACAACGGGAGTGTGTGACCTCTGGCTCCACGACAGAGATCATTCTCTAATGAGTTCAGACATCATTCTTGAATCCGATTCAGATCTACTGAAACAAATTTGGTGCCAGAGGGTGCGTGAAGCAGCTGGCGGCTACTCCGACAGCGTTTGCCCTGCCTCAGAGTAACCTCGTGCATCAGGAGCATTCCCTCAGCAGGTGCGAAATGCGATTTCTCACCTTGATCCTATTTGATCGTGGATTTTGCAAATGAGTGCACAAAAGTTCATACGAGGCCTAGATGTCGACTTCCAGCAAATACCGAAGATTTTTACTAATTGCAATCAAAGGGGTTGTCTGTTGCCCACGAAACCAGTTCGAAGAACCAAAATACATCGAAAGAGGAACAGATTTAATTCCGACACATCGAAAATTCACCAAAAAATAGAACCGGTACATTCAAGGCCATTTCTAATGCAATGCGACGATTTTGGGTAACTTGGTATCGTGGCGTTGCTCAGAGAATATGAATGAACCTACACATTTAAACCCAAACTAAAAGTGAAGAAGGTTAACTTAGCGACTCTTTGCCAAAACCACTGCTAGGGAGACAGTTAGCACGAAAGTACTCCTTTAAGAAACAGGACAAGCACAAAAGTGCATCCCAAAGCAATCAAAGCCTGCCCCACAGCCACGGGACCATGCATTTGTGACAGGTGGTCTGTGTTCTCAAGTAACTCGAACGTTAGTGATCCTAAGAAATCAGTTCAGCCTGTGACCCCCTACGAATTTCCCGCCTGTCCAGCGCTTGTGGTTGCCTGGGGCAGCTGATGCCACCTTTGCGTGCAAAATCAGCGTTGTTCATGCACACACAAACGATATGCTTTGCCGGTTAACACTAAAACCTTAATTGCATTTTAACCGAGGTTCTGTGCATTCAGATAACATCGAGAGTAGAACCCGACAGCGTGACCGTGCTTTTTGTGCCAAATTTTTCTTTCAGCGCAAAAGGCTCACCCAACAGACGTTCGAGAATCTCAATGAACCACGACTTGTGAATAAGTGGAATTAGATGTGAACAGCGAATCACAGTAACCCACTTGTCGTTCTAACTGATAAATGGCGGAATAATTTTTCAGTAATGGCATTTTAAAATTATGTGTTTTATCCTAGCAGATTCTGTGCTGAAATTATGCACTACGAGGGTTAGGTTTTCACCGCCACTCACAACTTGAAGTGTGTAATCACACCCGAATTTCCCGGCGTCCAGGAATTACAAACAAAAGGAGCATTTTGGCGATATGAAATGACCTTGAAACTTTCAGCACAGCTCAAGGTCAACAAGACTGGATTGAGTCCAACAGCTAGAACATATCCTAAGCATGTTAGCTATTTTCACACTATTTCAACAAACACGAAGGCGTGGCCAGACTGTTGAATCGGGCAAAACCGCTGTGAACACTACGTGTTTTGTTTTTTGGGGACTCGTGTTTAGCCCTACACCTTTGTCCATGGTTTAAAAGTGGGAGAAGCTATAAGACGCATACAGCGCATACAAAACAATAAGTTTATGAACTCAAGAATCTTCTCATTTTTACTCTAACACGTTTATTTTAGGAAAAACGGCCTAATTAACTATTTGGGTTAGGTTTTTAATAGCCATGTCAACCGTTTAAACTCTAAACACCAAGTTCCTTAACAAAAAAATCACTTAAATTCGCCATGCCTGAGTCCATGCAGTTGTTGTGATAAACATTTCCCAGTTGCAGACAATCAGTAAATGTCAGGAATAGAACGTGGGGAGCTGATTTGTCATTTCTAAATTTGGCAAACAACTCGGAGATTCAATCTACTTTTCTTTCACAGAAACAGTTGGCAGCTGCAAAAAAAGCTGGACCAATTTTGCAGCCACAGCGACAAACAATTTGCAGGGCATTTTAATAGATCGTGGATACACGAACCTACACGAACGTGCCTTACACATTCGTAGTCCCGCCAAAAAACTTGACCAATAAAAACAAAGCACACGCGTCAGATATCAGGAAGCTCCTCCGTCTTTGAGGTAACTCATATTTGCAATTTGTAAGAATCCTACTAGTGCTACTCAAACATTTCTCCAGTATTCACTTACTTTTTTGATGTAAAATATCTTACAAACACAAATGTTTATTCTCTATCACAAGTGAGCTCTCGTTTGTTTATCGAAATACTTTTGTTTCCACAACACTCCTAATTTCCCTTTTAAGTGGCCTTGGACTGAAAATACCCCCACTAAGCCCGAATTTCGGTGGTTTGAAAAGCCCATTCCGTTATTTCAGAGTTCTGCAACAGTTGAAAGACTGGGCTGAGCCAATTTCAGGCGGCAAAACAAAGCAGTGGTTGGCATATCTCGTTCAAAAACAGCGCGTCTTTTAAAACTGCCATGATACCCACCATTGATAAGTTTCCGTTTCACTTGAAGTCAAGCTTCCGGGGCAACAAAACAAACATTTAACCCACCATCGGAGGCATAAAGCCCTGCTTAACCGTTTTCTCTCCTTTGATTAGCACCGTACAAACGCACGGGATCCATTTATCGATAATGTTGCCATTTTACAGCCCTCTGACCGTTTACCTTTGGGTGACTTTTGGGCAAACACTCATTTTATCGTTTGTAGAGCAAAATATGAGGATTTTGGGGCACTGGTTATCTATGATGTTTAGCATTAACATGTGGTTGTGTAATCGTTTGGTTTAGGTCGATTTTTTGTAAAACCTTACGTGTGGTTAGTCATACAGACCATTTGCCTTGTGGCGTGCCTTGTATAACTTTTATTCGCTTTATAGGCCCCAAGCAACAATATCCACCCATTTCCGCTATTTTATTTATTTTTTTTTAAAAATAGCGTCAGTGTTTTGAAATAACACTTTTAAAGGGGGATTTTTCATCACAAAGTCCTACGAGAACGGTGAATACAGCGTGGCCCAGAGCTTACGGATTAAAAATGGAACCCAAGGAATATAAAAAACAAATTCATTCTGACTGATTTTACTCACTTGTCTTCAAAGTCAAATTGTGGAATAATTTGTCACCGTTTTTTTTGACACGAAACTTGGTGTATATCCTAGTGTGCCAAAATAGTAGAGAGGCGTCTGCCAAGATCACTTTCGTCATGTAGTCACTTAAGAAACGAGGCCTGATTCAGGTAATTAGTCGTGTTTCCGTTCAAGTTTATCGTTATTTGCTGTTATCTTTGGACAATTTAGGAAATAATTGGATGAGTTTTGAAAATCCCAAGACGAATTTGTCATAATTTTTTTCATAAATCTGAAAAATTCCGAACACAGCCTCGAATGCTTTGACCTCTGGGCAATTTAAAAGAATCCAGCGTGAGCTTGATTCTAGGGCCCCGTAACGTATTCCATGTTTGGGATTCATTGCAGTGACCGCATTCAGGTAATAATTTCTAATAGGTTTTCGTGATACTCAAGGCCACCTGATCACCTCCTATTTCTATTGGTTGTCTGATAGAACTGGGGCATATTTCCACGCTGGACGACTGTGTCCCTTTTAAGTGAAACTTTTTTAAAGTAACTGAAATATGACAGACCTCTAGACAAGACTTTTTTTCCCAAACTCTTGCCAAATCGCCTGGAAGTCAGAGGAAAACAAATTATGTTGTTTACGCTACATAAATTTGTGAGAGCAATAAATTTCCCTCCACCAAGTTCCCAACAAATCACCATATGTCCACGCGGATCACGAATATGGAAGGCGTCATTAAAACTGCAATTTGTGTTTGTGATACCGATGTGGCAACACCGACAATGAATTTAAACAAAACTAGGTACCCATTTACTTCTACACTGATTTTCTTGATTCTCAAGTTTTATTGCGTTCATTTCACCTACCTGACTCTAGTCTGTTTTTGAATTAAAGGAAGGGTTTCTACACAGCTTAATCCGAGTTAATTGCCCCGTACCAAATAGAAAACACTTTATTACCAAAAATTCAGCCAATAAGAGGTTTTCTACAAGTATAATTCGCGCGTCCGTTCTCCGGATACAAGAATTCTCGCTTTTATTCGCCATATTCAGGTTAATACAAACGGTTTTAGTGTGGGATTAGCCTCACTTGATGTGGAAATCGAATAGTTTTGACACGAATGTCCTAACAACGACTTGTAAGTCTCTTTAAGTAAGTTGAGCTAATGCAAAGGAGGCTGCGTGATCAACGTCCCACGAGGTTGGTTTGTAAGGGCAAAAGTTCGACTGCAACAGTTTCTAATTACGGCATTCGCTTGCCAACACTACCGCATCCGGGTAGTAAGTTTCTTTTGGGAAAAATTCAAGTGTTGAGAGGCACTGATTAACTTTAATTCTTGCTGCTATGTGTTGGACTTCGCCGGTCACACACGCGTCGAGTTTAGGGTTGTAATGCCTGATTCACTGCGATCGCAACCACACCTCTCAACAATTTTAATAACTCAATGCAGTTATCCATTGGAAATTATTCTAAAAAGTTTAATATTTTTAACGTTATTTGCGTTTGTGGCATTTCGTAAGTCGGATGGATCCATTACTTACAAGTATTTTTAGAACCTCGAATATTTCGCCTCAGACTTGAACTTAAACGTGGTTACACAACAGTCCTTATCCTTACACCAATTATTCATGTTGATTTCCTAGAACGAATCATCTTCACTTTGGACAACAATCTTTCCATTAAAAAAGTGAACAAATACTGGTTGCGTGATCACGCAACCGCTTTGATTAAGATCTTGGAAACAGATAAAAACGGGCATGTAGGGAGACCAACCTTCAAAATCAACAAGGCCATCGTGATCGGTGTCGGCCTCCTGGATCATGGCTCTGACTTCCTCGTCGGAGACTGTCTCGCCAAGGAAGTGCATCGTCCTCTTGATTTCGTCGTGGTCGATGTACGAGTCATTATTGTGGTCGAAGACCTACACCGACGAATCGACAAACATCGTACGTTAAGTGTCTAGGGTTTAGTCGGGAGTAATTTATTTAAATCCGTTCAAATTGTGGCTTATCCAATGGACGATGGCAGCGGTTAGCTGTTGGCAGGGGCATTTTACATACGGCATGGCAGTTTTGTTTCGTCTACTCTTAATTTAACAAACGTATTTTAGGGACATTAAACAGATCGCAGAGGGTAAGTAGCAGGTATAATAAATTTTTCATGAGGTTGTGAGCAAGTCGTGCTACGTTGGGAGACATCTAGTGGTTTTATGGGAACGCTGTCTTTGATGTAAATGCGTGTAAACTGCACATACGAAGCGGTGTGAGTGCTTTATAGACAAAAAAACCAAGTCGTTCCCCACTTTTTCTGACGCGATACTTTGCAGCACATACCCTATTTCTGAGGCTAGTTGTAGCAACCCTCACACACCACAAGTACCTAGTGTGTCGACATAGTAGAGAGGCGTCTGCCAAGGTCGTTTTTTTAGATCAAGGCATTAACAAAAAGGGCTCAATTTGGCAGGCATGTGCAATTATAACATTACGCCACGCATTTAAGACCCCCAGAAGTTCTCCGATCCAAATGAACCGCTTAAGATATCGATTTTTAAACTTAATTACACATGAGCCAATGTGATACCGTTAGGCTAAATCTGACCAATACTAACCTCGTATGATCGTGATTCGGGATTGTAGGTACAACAAGCAAGATTTTCTTAGTTCAAGTATTATTAATTTACTAAAGCATGCGTTTTACGGGTAAGTTGTCACAAGCATGAAGCAGTGAAGCTTAAATGGCATTGGAATCACTGTTGTTCTTTGCCATTTTTTTCATTTTACTGTCCATTGGTATGCAGTAAAGGTGACGAAGTCGTATGAACGCTTATTTCACTTCAGACACACTGTGTTTGAAGGCAAATTCTTTTAAGCTTTCAAGGTACGTTCCTCACTTTTCTGCATTTTGTAAGCCTTAAACACCACCGAAACACTAATACCACAACTGCATTAGTACAAAATTTACTTAAATGCGAAAAGGAACTGCGCATTTACTAACTGACAGTAATATATGCAACTGATTTTGTACCGAAACCCTAAACGAGTCATCGCTCCTCATGGTGTTGATATTCAGGCGTTGAATCTGCGAAAACACTAAATATTCAGCTCGCGGCACATTATGTTGTAGAAATTGGCATCGACGGCGAAGTATTCTTCCTACGGGGTTCTAGATTTAAAACTTCAAGCACATTTATCAAAAACCACTTTGGTGTATCCTTGAGGACACGGTACTTCTTCGAAAGGAAAGCTTGGAAGAGTAACCACTGAGGTGAATTTGAATGAACCGGCGCCTGTCGTAGTCAAAACACGAGCAAAAAATGCATCAAGTGCAAGCTGGGCCAAAATCAGTTGCCGGCCCGCCTACTTGGGTTACACAAAATCGAATTTGGTAGTCCAAAAGAGAAGGATATAAGAGCGAGGCTCGCCGTCACTGTGTGTGACTGCTAAAAGCGACAATCACGTACCCGGAACGCTTCCAACATTTCGGCGTCCGGACAGTTGGCGGCCTTCTCAGAGTACCGATTCATCATTCGAATAAACTCATTATACTCCACTGTGCCGTTGCCTGAAGGGACAAAAAAAATGGACTAAGGGAAAAAGAGGAGTCAAGTAATGACGCTGGAGTGCCACTGTCTGTCAAAAACTTTGGTCTTTTTCTCGCACTGGTTAGTCAGTGGCATTCACTGGTCGTGGTAGATGATGACACGCCCGCGCGACTTTGGGGCTAGGCGTGCACGCCACACCCATGCGGCGTGCACGACAGGTGTGAGACGAGGTGGGCGAACCATGTTCAACACTTTGCGACATCCGGAGTCGTGGGACCTCGCGCATAGCCACATCAGCTTGTTTACACTACCGCGATTTTCTCTAAACACAGCGCTTATTTTTCATCATTCTGGTCTAATTTTTTAAAAAAACACAACGAGAAATTTTAAAGCCATTGCAAAAATTGAGCCACAACAGGTACCACGAATGTCAGAGTGGCGAAATCACTTCCGGTCCCACTTTTCGTGTCTCAACAGACACTTTGGAACCTGAAATTGCTAGGCTGCAAAATCGGCCTGCTAATGACGTTTTGGAGGGAAGCGTAGGATTCCGATACCGTGCTTGCGAATTTCTCAATCATTGACGAGGGAAATCTTTGACTTTTCGCATACACATCAGCAGTACAGGGAGTCACTCCTGATTCGGATATCGTTAAATATCGACGTGAGAGTCGAGACTACAGAGCGAGGAGGGAGATTTTGACTAAACACAAGTGCATCGGGAGCAGGTGCACAGTGAGTGACTGTGTTTTAATAGAACCAAATCTTTTATAATGAAACCTGAATAAATTACACTGAGAAGAGCGCCAAATCTAAACGCACTGGTACACCCCAAGAACCAACCGACGCATGTACGTACAAAGGAGACAAGTCCTTTTTTTCTAGTTGTCCTCCTCAGAGGACGCGGGGTTGTTTTGCTTCAATAGCCACTCAACACTGATTCATTAAATGGAGAATGTAAGTAGAATGTTGACTAATCGTCACCTGATATTGTAGTTTTGTGATCGCTCCCTAACAATTTTGTGAATAAATCAGCACACCCGACAAAGAAATATCAAACCACCACTGTGGTGAGTTTTAGTAGAAAATTAGTCCATTGAGCTGATTGCCACGGGTGACGAATTGTCCTTAGATTGTGTTTTCTAGTAGTGATACGCAACAGGTTTTTCAGATTTCAATAAAGTAAAGCTGTGAAGCTTGACAGCGATTGGCCGGTTTTGATGACCCCTAGAGTGCCTGTGGCTACGAAGCTGCGCAACTTTGCAACCATTCACAACTCGGTGCTGGACAGTCAGTGTGGAGGCCAACGGCAGACAGGTGTCGACGCAGTAAACAACCGCCATCTGGCGCAGAGCGTGAGAGCAACTTGACAAGCGATCACCGCCTACGAATATGCACCAAAACTGCCTTTTTTAGTTTACATTCGCACAGGCCACTGTGGCATTTTATCTTCTGCTTCTCTAGGAATATGTTGATACACCCATTAGACACGCAGTGCGTATAAGCAACGTCTAGATCATTGCGCTGATAACTGAGGCCAATCGTAATGCTTTCCCCTTTAAAAATGCTCCACACAGCTTAGTTGAGCTGTTAGTTCGGTGATAAAATCGCCCGCCTGGACACCAATGCTTTCTAATTAACTCATCCGCGCACTCAGACAATTGGGGAAATCGAAATGCAGACAATTGAGCTAGCGACAACTAACTTACCGTCGATATCAGCGTCAGCAATCATCTTCTTAACGTCCGATGGGCTGGCCTTTATTCCTAGGAAATTCAGCACGGAATTCAATTCTGACTCGGTAATCCGACCATCGTGGTTGACGTCAAACAGGACGAAGGCGTCGTGGAGGTCTTCAAAGAAACACGAGGAGAACTTTGAGAATGTGGAAACTAAAGGGACGCATTTTGGCTGTCTACGCTTGCATTTGGATTTCCTAAAGAGCATTTACTCCTTCTGCTTGCTAGCACTCTTACGTGGTAGCAAACTTAATAACGGATTGCTTGTGTCTTTGTTCAGACAGGTGTCGAGGTTTAAGAATAGGTTAGGAGGGAAGAGCACTCGACTATAAATTAAGTTAGTGAGTACTCAGTTCACTTAGTCCAAGAATACTCATTTGAAGAGAAAGCCTCTCAGACATGACCTCATCGTGGATTCGAAGACTTCGAGATTTGTAAAAATGCTTAGAGTGGAGGTAATAAGAGGATAATGTCAAGGAAGCTTTCGCGATCCAATGGCAACCTCCACATGACAAGCTTCCCCCGCTTCGACCCAATAGTGACGTCAGCCCATCCGATTAAAATTTAAATCCCTCCTTCTGAAGGGGCACAGCGCATAAATTAAGGAACAGTCGAATGGCTTTGCCGTCTCCCACATAACATCGCCACGAGGCAGAATGTTCCCAAAGAAGGCGCTATCGTACACAAACACACAACAAAGCCGCCCAACTCTCATCCAACCAAGTAACCTGTTCCCATGTCAGAGTTTAGTAAACAAATACCTACAATAAAACACGGTACAGCAAGAAGGTAATTTTGCAACTTGAAAATGATATCCCAAGGCACGGTTTTGTCAGAATTGTAAACGAAATTGAGACCTCTTGTGACGACAAAGGTCTGTGGAGAGACGCAAGGACGTGGGCTCAAGGCGCTACTAGAGGATCACCAGGGGTGAACTCTCGTGAATTAGTTTATGGCAGTTTAAATTGGACACGCGTGGAAGTCGACAACGAGTCCTTAAAGATGCATTTAGCAACAAAACTCCCTGCCGTTTAAAAACCGTTAGAAACTGTTGTGAAAATTAAGACACCGAACAGCAAAAAAATAGTCAATTGGAATGTCAAATTGTCCTGCAGTTGCCGCAGGTTGCCCTAATTTTGCACCTCATTTGGATTATCCCCAGGTTAGTGAAGGTATTTATCCATGAAGAAGGTAAAATAAATCAATCAAAGCGCACACTTAACCTAGCTGAAACGTATTTTTTATGGCATTTCAGATAATGGGAAGTTGAAAGAATTCGAAAGAGTTATTGACCCTGAAGATACAGTAAACGTTTTTATTAAAACAGCCGGTTGACGAGTATATTTTTATCGCAAATTTAGGTGACTCGATCAATCAACTTGTCAGAGGCGAACGCTAAGATATTACTCGGGAGACGGACACGAAAGAAACCAACCAATAGATAACCCGGGTTGATGGGAACATTATACTCCGAAGTAGTAGAGCGTAGGTAATTGCACTGTTTCCAAGATGGTCTAAAATACTTCAAGTTGACGAAGAGGATGGAGGAAGGAGGGGAGCGAGGGCAACCGCGCAGGACATCGTGCAAGCAACTAACAGTGGTCAAAATTTTACTACAGATTGTTTTCTTTAGCCAGAAGGCAGGTTTACCATGAACCACGGTAACTCTGGTAAAAAGACGCCCTGTGAAGGCTAAAAACAGGTCCCCACTTATAAACAAGGTGGAGTAAAAATGGAATGTTTACTGTTTGTTTTTGCATACCAATTCAAAAAAACTTTTGGGGTAAAAAACAATTATAACGAGGGATCTGGCTACCTCAAATTTATCACAAATATTCAATGGAAGAAGACTACTTGACTACTGGAGGTTATTTTAGCATTGTTAACGATGCAGACTAACCACAAACGAACAACATGGTGGCAACTTAGGTAGTAACTGACTACACTGTCCGCTTGCCGGTTGCAACATCGCATTTTCGTCGTACCGAATTGATATTTGGGCCGTAATTTGAAAGCTCTAACTATGCACGTGCCTTTTTAAGCTAATATCACTTAGTTGCCCTTGTGAGATAGCGAGTCTCATGTCCATAGTTGATATTCATAAGTTTTTTGAATTGGAAATCCGCAAAATAGAATGTGAATTCGGAGTTATTGCCTAGGGGCTATTTACACCGCTAGTTCAGGAGATTGGGGTCAAAACAATGAGCCTTTAAATTACTGTCACAGAGGCGCAACCATTTTAAGCCAATGCCTGGTGGAGTGGAACGTTCAGCACCTTTCCGAGCATTGGACTTGATTGGGTGTCCATTTGGGTCCAAAGTTGGCCGGTTTTAGGCAGTTTAGCTAATCACAGAGATGAGCTACCATAAAAATCTGGCGGTTTGCTTGCGCTTGAGTCGAAGCGGTCGACGCAGGCTTGGACCTCAGTAATGTCTTGATGGTGACATTCTTCAGGGCACGGATAGGCCTACATCGAGGAGCGTCCGCGAGTGATTTCACATTGGCATTTTGCGTGCATGGCCAACGCAATTTGACCAGTGTCGCTCCAAACTCGAAGACGGCAACCCACAGAAATGTGAAATGCCGACAAAGTTGTAAGTGAGGAAGTGTGGAATAATTATGCTACCGCTCCATTTTGAGTGGTGATGACTACCTTAAGGACGGTCACCACAAGAATGCCAAATCTTTGAACGGGATTCTAACCGTTACTATGATGGCGAGGAAGTGATTTACATGCAGGTTACTGAAGGCAGCATGAAGGTAGATATTCCACCAACTACATCCACTGGTGCGTTTGTGAGGATCTTCCTTATTTAATTAAAATATGTGGTTTATTCCACAATGCATTGGCTGTTGTTATTTAACATGGTAAACAAGATTATTGAGAGCTCTTTATTGACGATCTTCAGCTTTTGACTCATAAAAAATCACCACTGTTTTCGATTTTATGCCAATACCAAACGCGACCTCGCGCAAATCGTTGGACAGTGATCAGAAAACATGGAAATCAGATAACGCCACGTATGGAGAAGTGACAGAACCCCCATCTGAGAGATTGCATTGCAGATTTCACCATAATGACAGTCAACACGATCATGAGCCGCAATGACTTATTCTTCGACCTCATAATGATATGGCTTCGTGGAAGGAAAACGCAAAAAGTGTTGTAAAATAAAATACACTGGGATTTCATTGAAGCTCGATACGCCAGCTGAAGCGTAAAAATGATCATCGGAGGAGCAAGAATATTGGATTGCACTCACTGTTTCGGAAATGTCGCGTTTGTGGATGAGTTCGAGATCCACGTTGATAAATGGATGCGTGCATTTGAGATGGCAAGGTGCCCAGAATAGCTAGTCTTTCTTAAAATCAGCTTTGAATATGATTAAGTAGTGATCGAAAGTGGGCCTTATGTGGATGAGAGAAGTCTGGAAGTGAAGTGAATGCATTTTGTGCAGTTGGCGCAATTAAAAAGCCCCCGCACGAAAGCAGCCCAGCGTGTATTAATAGCAGGAAGTAAACGGCACACACGCGGCGCTTGACTTGCAGGCACAAAAAAGCACTGCCGTCATTCATCCGCCTGTCTGTCAAGCAGAATTTGGCCCAATCTGAGACAGAGGTGCACCGGGAGGCGAGGGTAATGCAATAATGCCAGGATAAACATCCCAGGTGAGTGTGTGTTCTCCTTGGGGCAAAATACGGAGCAGCGCGGCTGGTCTAGCCAGAGCCAGATTGGGGACGTGAAGGGATTTGACTCAGTCTGTGCTGTTGGCGAGGGTGTTTCTATGCCACTCAACAAACCCGCCAGCAGAGCCGACACTGGGGTTTAAAAAAACGTTTGCACGTCGAAAACCGAAATGCGCTTCTTGTCTAAGCTGACCTAATTTCGGACACCCGGTGCTAGACGCGGCGCGTAACATGACAAGCAATTCTAATCACCCAACGCAGCAAAAGTTCCTCGGCCTGTTTGTTTCGATAAATCCTGCTTGCAATTTCCAACCTGCAGTTTCGGAAATACGTCTTGCTACATGGAATATTTCCGGCGTTAACTAATTTTGCATCGCAAAAAGTGTGATTTGATTACGAAGTGACCGGTCTTACTGCACGGGTACAAATTAACTCAACTTTATGCGTGTGCATTGAAAAAGCGCCACGATGACGCAAGTTAGAAACGGTTTTTTTATTACTGGTTAACGTTGAAGTTAGTTTTGCTCACCTGGATAACCGCTTTTGTTCACACAGATGCAGTGAGTTTGGCTCAAAGTTCAACAGTTAGCACTTTTAATTAAATTGAATTAATAGTAGATAGTTCATGGAAAAATTTATCCCAAACCACTCATTTGTGGTTTAAATTCATAAAACAACAAGCATGCAATTGACTAGAAAACACCATCTTGGAAGTGTGGTTAAAATTTTGATCTACTAATTATTCAAATCAGTAACTACCATTGCCAGTGGCATGCATGTTTCGCAACCCTGTGTAAGAGTGAAAGTGAAGGCAGGAATCCATCAGTTCTTTAAAGAAGCCTAAAAAGACGCCCATTCTCGGTTGCACACAAGGAAACTGAGTAACGATTGGGCGAGTGATAATGCAAAGTGCCCCTTAGATTAGGGGCAGAAAGTGCCAGAATAGTGCAAAACACGTGTGTACACAATAGACAACCAGGTAAACTGCTGAAGATACCAAGATATACACGATTGACTTAACCAGTTCTTAAAATTGTGAAAGTACTACTATGTCGCATAAAAGATTTCGGAGATCATGTGTCAGGCGATCACGTTTGACCTTACTCGCCTAGGCAATGGTGTCTCAGCCGGGGTACAGTAGACGGTAACGACTCTCGACAGCGCCAAACTCCCCGTCTAGGTGTTGGGGTTCCAGCATTCGCGGGTTGGGATTTCGTCACTGCTTACACAATCCCCCTAACCACGCCAATCCAGTAAGCGAGCCGCCCGCGGCACCTTACTGACAGCCCCATTCGTGTTAGTCCGCTTCATCTTTGGCATATATAAATAGGTGTATTCAGACAGATCACTCGGCTTTTGGTTAAGGCATTAAGGGCTATCTGCATGAGGCCCTGTCTTGTCTTGCATTAGCGTCTGATAAGGGATCTGGGGTACCGGTTACCTGAGGGAGTGTGTGATCTTCGTAACGCGCAAAAACGTAACACTAGGAACACCGTTGCGCCTGCTCTGAAGGGATAATTT